AAATAAAAAAAGCCTACTCGTTGTCTAATTTTTCTAAATCTGTTGAGTACTTTTTTAGAAAATTTTGAAATTAAAAAGAACCTGCATTGCAAGATCTCACCTGAATACTAAAATAAGTACAGTTACGGAATTAGACATGTGCTTCAAATTACTAAATTGAAAAAAAATCGTGACCACATCATTAAATTACGCTGTCAAGGGGAGCCTGCTTGTACGCTGTGCTGAGTGTTGGGTGCAGATGGCACAAGCTATCATTCTTCACTGATATCTCGTTTTATATATTATATATACAGAAGTTCCCTGCAACTTTATTATGATTACACCATTCAAAACACTTTGGAGAGACAATGCAGAGCAATAATGGCCGGCTCTCAAATTACTATGGTCTATCGAAGAGCTAGAACTATAGATCTTTTCGGAAGTGGTATGCGCATTTGGGCAAATAAAGCTGTAACGCGGACAGGCAATGCCATCCTTTTTGATCGAATAGACAATTTTATTAAAACAAATTCTTAGTAATTTTCTCGACGTCCATTCTCGGAGGGCTCGAACTACCCTCCCTCACTGCTACCAAAGCAGCTTCAAATACTGGTGCTCCCATCAAGCGACAGCAGTGCGCCGCTTCCGAAAATGCAGCTATGATCATTGCTTATGAAAAGAAGAGATTTTAGAAGCGAGATGACAGCGCACGAGAGCTGTGACAAACAATTAAACAATACACATTAAACCTACTTTTCATCTAGCAATCATCATACAAGCAAGATACAATGAGTACTTCCGTCAAGTATTGTATCTATATATGCGTCATTACAATTCGATGCAGCTACACTATTAATCTGCTTTAAGAAGAATATGAAAGAGTGGAGCATTAAAGGACAATGCAGATATACAATCAACTATATGGCAATGTAAAGATCTTCCTGGTAAGAACTAACTTCGTTTAGTAGTCATCCGAAACAAACTTCGACAGAGAAAGGGAAAGAATGAAAAGCAGAGCGATTTACGAGGGCCTACACATCTTCTTTCACATACTCTAACGTTTGTTAAGACTCAACGAAACTGTTTCAACAGTGCTCCGCGAAAAAAACAATAGGCTAAGATACTAGAGAAATGACAATGCTCTACAAAGTTAAAAATATGTGATTACTTTTTAGCGTCGAAATAACTCATCTCAAACTTATTACAATTATTATTTGCAAAATTTAAGAGCGAGCTTGAACAAGATTAGCGTCCTATAACGCCCATTAGATATTTGAGATTGAAAGAGGTTTTTAGGCAGGTTGTGGTAAGCGCTTAACCACAACTCTAAGCAGCGTAACTTTGACAATTCACGACTTTACACCGCAGTTCTAGCATCAGCAAGACTACGAGATCTAATTATTACTTGATAGCATAATCCTACCGTAATAAGTACAAGTTCTCCAATTTAAAAATCTAAGCTCAAGCTGGCTCTTCGAGACGATCACTAAGGCTTAGAAAATTTGGATATAAAGATTTCAACGAACAGTGAGACACAGTGAACACCCTCCGATATACCCTATAATAATGTATTAACAACTATAACAATGTATTAACACAACTAATGGCCTCCATCCTGAAAAAAAAAATGGCAGTAGATTTTAATGAGCTTTTCCTCCAGAGATTCTCTTTGGATCGCGCAGTTCCATCT